TATATATATATATATATATATATATATATATATATATATATATATATATATATATATGTATATATATATATATATATGTTAAGTCTGTATATATATGTATATATGTATATATATATTCCTCTCCTTTCTGCAATATCCTCCCCGGTTAATTTCGCTATAACTTCCGCTGCGAGGCACATATCAGAATAATATCATGCACACGCCCAGAATAGCGAGAATATCTTGATATCTTGTTTATATTCGCAAGTACGTTGTACATCGAAAAACATACTATATTTCCACTCATACTTCCCTTTTTTTTTTAATTTGCACACCTTTACGAGAATGTCTAACGGTGGGCGCGGAGTAACGGGGAACGCGCATTTCATAGCAAATTATTATATCAGATTACATTTGTAATGATAATGCGCAGTTCCACCCCGATAGACGATATCGAAACGTTAAACTAAAAATAAGCACAGATCGACTGAAAAATATAGAACCGTGCGAGTCGAGTGTTACGTTATTGATCCGAATGCAAGGGTGCCGTTGAGTTCTCAGCTGAAGCGGAGTGTGACGTCGGCGGCGTTGGTTGTGAGGGTGGTTCTGTTGGAGGTGTGTCGTCGCGCGAACTTGTTACGTGAGACGTAGCGGCGGGTGTCGCCGGCTGAGATTGAGTCGTCCCGGTGGATGGTGCGTATATAAGCCGATATCCAGCTGGCAGAAAGAAACCGCCGTGAGGGGTACAACTAAAGGTTTGAAAATTCGTCAACGGCTGGCCTTCGTGATATTGAATATAGGCGCCCGTCGAGCTAGTGATCGGTAATGGCGCGGATAGCGTTCCAGTCGTCGACGGTACATTCGTCCCCTCGGACAGTATAGGGGCGAATTGGTACTGCGTCGGATTACTAACCGCCGGACTATGCGTCATATCAATGCCTTCAGTTGTATCATTCGAGCAGTTATTACTCTGCTGGGAGACTATACTTTGCATATTTTCAGAAGGCACTACTGGAATCGGGATAACATAAGCATGTGGTATTCCAGCTGATGCCTGCTGCGGTTGAAGCTGCAACGGCGTTTGCTTCAATTTCTGCATAGCCAGCCGTAAGGTCTCATCGGTGTCCGGATAGTTGTTCGACCCTTTTTGCAACGGAGTCTGCGGAGCTGTACTGATCATTAAATAGTCCTCCGCACCTGGAATCCTAGATCCTGTAAAATTAGAATATATTTAAATAAGTAACTTGTTATTAATTTACGCAAATCAAATAGCGTCAATTCTCTCGTGCTCGTATTTACTGACCAGAGATATTTGTCGCGACAGTATGATAAAGTAATGGGTGATGTTGATGTTGATGAAGCGCGCTCGCTTGCTGCTGCTGCTGAATGAGCAACTGTAATTGATGTTGTTGAAAACGTTCTAACTCTTCTCTGTGCCTTTTTTGCAATGTTTCTAATTCCAAAGTTTGCCTGTAAATGATAACATACAATAAGAATGTATTTCTTAGCGCTATTAAGAGAAATTCGGGAATGTAATTCTTTACATGTTATATTCTAATTATTTTCACCTTTTTATAAGCAGCTGGTATTCTTCGCTCGGTGTAAGAGCTACAAATCTGTCTTCTTTTTCAGGCTGCAATAAAAAAATATATAATTATAAAATTATTAAAATTGAAATATAATAATAATATTATAAATTATTACAAATGTTGTTTATAATCTTTTTATAGTGCTCGGAATTACTTATATAATCGAAGCGATTTTTTAGAACTATGTTTACTTATTTTCTCTTGTTCTAGTTCATCCGATGGGCTACGCGACTATAAGGCCCGATCTACAATAGATGGAGTAAGGACTAGGAGTAGGAGTAAGACGAAATGGAAATAATTATTTCGCTTACTCCCTTACTCCAGTAAAAGTTTGCCCATATACATCACATAGAGTAAGCCTGAATTAAGTAGTAAGAGCTGAAGTGCTGGAGTAAGGGAGTAAGCGAAATAAATTATTTCCATTTAGTCTTACTCCTACTTCTTACTTCATCTATTGTAGATCGGGCTTTCTACAATGCATCTTCTACAATGACAGTAGTAGTAGTAAGAAATAAGCAGTAAGTAAATAGACCAATTACAATCGATTATTCTTAAATCGTAAGAATGGAATTGGTCAATTTGTTTACTGCTTATTTCTTACTACTACTCCTACTGCTATTGTAGTATTACGATTTTGTAGAATTGCAGATTTCTAGAATTGCAGTATAAGTTTTTCTATGTGCTATGGTCTTAACAGTCGCAGAACACTTACTCCTTGTCCACAACCTTGCTTTGATCTTTAAGCCGTAAAAAATTGACCAACCACAGTTGATTATTTTAAAAATAATCAACTGTGATTGGTCAATATCTTACGGCTTAAAGATTAAAGCAAGGTTATGGACAAGGGGGTTAGTCTTAAGCGTCTTCTACAATGGCAGTAGGAGTAGTAGTAAGAAATAAGCAGTAAGCAAATTGACCAATTCCATTCTCATGTTTCAAAAATAATCGATTGTGATTAGTCTATTTACTTACTGCTTATTTCTTACTACTACTCCTACTGCCATTGTAGAAGACGCTTTAGGATTGTTGACATTATAAGATGTGAAGCACTTCCAAATAATTGAAAAATTGTTATCAAAAAAATTGTTATCAAATTGTTATCAAATTTGTCTATGATATTGTAATACGCTAATAACATATTTATATTATTATAATTACAAGGTAACAATAGGTTTCCACCTCACTCATGGGCTACTATTGTTGATAAGTCTATTGGACATATCATTTAAAAGAAAAGAAAGAAAACGAGTCAGCAATAGTATCTCATGGTGACATGGAAACCTATTGTCACATTGTAATTATAATAATATAAATGTATTCTTAGTGTATAAAAATATTATATATAAAGAATAAATATTATATATAAAAGAATTGTTTTGATAAGAACTTTTTAGTTACTAAGAAGCACCTAAAAAATTATATGATGTCAACGGTCCTGAGGTGGGACGCCGCGACTGTCTGTCAGTTGCTACTCTGTGAGATGAAATGAAGCAAGAGGAAGTAGACGTAGCCCTTGAAAATCGCCTTGATTATATACAAGTAATTTCGAGCACTGTTTTACAATATGTATCTTAGTCAGAGTTGGATAATAACTTACTTAATCAATTAAAAGTTGAAAATTTTAACTTTTAACTTAATTTATTTTAAATAAATAAATCTTTAACTAGTTATTTTAAAATTTTAAATTTTTTTATATAAGTTAAAATAATTCATCAATATTAAAATCATTGTGGGCTACTTATAATGTAAAAAACAAAATGTCAACAGAATATGTTTTCATCTCTCTGACCGTCAATTTTCTTTTCTTATGCGGAATCTTAAACTCAAAACAGTCGATGCTTTCTTATAAAACATTACTTTTTTATTATTTCATATAAATTATGATGGTATTAGAACAATTGTATTTATGTATTGATTGTTAGAGCAAAAGGAAAATATTTGAAATATATTAGAAGTATAGTTAATCGACTGCAAGTGTAATTTCTTGGATATTTTATTTTAACGTATTTTGCAGGAATTTTGAACATGCATTTCCTAGCTTCTGATGTCACAAATCAAGATAGCCGTGACGAGCGGCCAGAATCTTTAATTATATAAGAAACAAATTGTTTTGCATAATTAATTTTTAGTTTTAATAAATTAATTCAATTTCAATTTAACTTTTAAAATTAAGTTAGTTTTTGTTTATATAACTTTTAATTTAACCAAGTTGATTGTATAAGCTATTATTAATTTTAAATTTAATTTAATTAAAATATATCAACTTATCCAACCCTGATTTTAGTTTATTACAATAATTATAAAGTAATATAAGTAATTATAAAATGAAACTTACTTCGATATTTAGAATATTAGTACCATGAGTTGCTTGTACAATTGGCGGAACAGAATTCTCTCGGCTATGAGGTACTTGTACAGGTACACCTACAATTAATATAATGATGTATATGTATTACGTGATCTTATACGCATAAATACATTCTTATATTTATTAGTTTAATGAGTTTCTGTATAATTTTCGTTATCTAAATTAAGTTATAGTTAATCCCTTACCATGCAGATCATCTGTATGAGGAAGAACATTTTGTCGTTCTGAGATTTTCAATTCTTCCGTTTGTTGCGGAAGAGTCCTCGCAGCGTCAGTAGATTGCTGTTGGTTGACAGTAATATTACTGTGAGCAGGCGGGCCGGCAACTTTGGAAACCACGAATCTAGATATCTTTCTGATAGGTTGTGCAGGATTTGCCTTCTGTTAACGTAGGATCAATTTTCTGATATTAATGAATTACGTATGACATATTCAACTTACTCTCAGAGACTATTTTTTCAATTATTGAATAATGTTTTACGATTCTTTTGTTATAAATGTTATTGTAAAATACATTCTTAACAACGTAGCAAACGGTATTTCTTCAAATCTATTGAACTAATAAATTACCCATATAATAAAACAAAAAAGACAAGGTACTTCGCAATCCGAACAGTTTGCTTAACAGTTTACTAAACATGAAATTTCTCGTGAGAGATGTTAATAAAATAAACCATAATTAAAATATTACCTCATTAATGTTATCTTGGAGTTCCGGTTGAATTGGAGTATTTGTGTCGGATCGTGGTGTCACGATGTTAGGAGTGACAGTGGCTACAGGTACTGTTGATATTGGCGGAGCGGTCGTTAATAAAGTTTGCACAGGTTGCTGCATATGCACGGAATTAATTATGGTTATAGGTGGTGTTAACGACTGCGTAGGAGCCGCCGCGAAAACTGATCCCCTATGATGAATTTTTGCCAACTCCTGCTCCAATTCTTGCAAACGGGATCCCGGTCTTTGAGCTCGTATCTTTACATTCTCTTTGCTCGGACTCATATTATCTGACCCCGTTGGCGCTCCTGGTGTTGGACTATCGAGGGAGCATTCCGTATTCTAGAACAAAGTTTCACATAAATACTCGTAATACAATGAGAATTACTTATTATTGAATATGATAACTCCAGAAAAAAACTAACAGTTTGAGAAAGCGCAAATGTGCCAGAAGTCTCCTGAGTTACAACAGAGCCTTCGACAGCCGCATCAACTTGCGTGTCGGTGAGGACAGTAGAGGAATGTATCGTTGTTTGTGGAGATAACGGACACTAAAATCAGATGATACATTTAGTTAGACATATATTACTTATATATTTTTTTTAAATAATATATGTAGAATCTTTCAAAAAATTACAAAAAAAAAACAGTATACTTACAACAGCATTCGCACACGAGACTGGCATACCGATATTACCCAGTTTTTGTTGTAAAGAATGCATATACGCATCGTATCCCCCTACTATTTGGTGATTATGAGGCGTGGCGGGATAGCTTATAGGAGGTGTACCAACGTTCAGTGATTCTGACGGCTGACTAGTCAATTGTACGAGTTTCTGGTGCAAGTCAGCTATGGTTTGCGGTCCCGTACCACTCCCAATGCTACCGATACTGCTTATATCCGACACTTTATCCAAAGAATTCTGTTGACTGAGCTTACGATGTTGTTGCTGCTGCATTTGTTGTTGAGGTAATTGCTGTTGTACGACCACTGTAGAATCGATTAATTCAACGAGGGTATGCTCAGGAGTCACATCGTGACTAGAGTTATCATTTTCAGATGTAAGCAACTGACAGTCGGAACTAGTACGACGCATGCTGAAACGATAAATTAGAACTTAATGCATATTTTGTGACATTTATGATATGTACATACTAGACACTTCTCTTTTAATACACATCATTGTGAATATGTAGTAAATGTGCATACCAATTTGAATTTGAAGATTCTGAGATATCAGTTTCCAGAGGTTTCATCGAATGTTGTTCCGGAAGCTTTAAATGTAAGTGTGACTGATCTGATATGATGGACGATTCATTATGTTGCTGGTCTTGCATAGTTTGCGGTTGCATTTGAGGTTGAACTGGAATTTGTTGCAACTGCGGTTGATTTTGCAACGGTTGTGGTTGCTGCTGACTTGATTGTATATGCCGTATCGGCTGCTGCAAAGGAGTTTGATTAGACGAAACAATCCATTTTCCTTGAGCCAACAACTGGCCTGAGACATTTTGAAGAGTCGACTGCACCATCTGCGATTGCGCGTCGATCTGTTGAGGAATTTGTTGAGGAATTAATGGAACTGATTGTGGTATCGATTGCGTTTGGCCTTGATGAAGCAATTGTTGACCCTGAAACGCTTGTTGAAAATTCTGTTGTCCTTGATATACTTGATGTATGACCTGTCCTTGGTAATTATGAATAGGCGGTTGAATCTGCAGCTGGTTCGCTTCCGGTTGTATAGGTTGAAAATATTGTTCGGATTGTACAGGTTTGTGTTCGACTAGCGTGGAAGCAGCGACGTTAGGCACAGCGGTTGGTTGCTCGTGACTGGTTAGAGGATGAGGTGTTGCAGATTTGGATTTTGGATTCGATAATATGTTCGCTAAATTTTGCGCGAGATCCGGAAGCGTCGAGGATACTTCCTTCGTTTTCGTGATAATCTTTGGCGTAGAGACATCCGCAGCAACGACTGGATGTACAGGAAGAGATACTTGAGGCACAGATGCCAGAGTTCCAGGAACGTGCTGCACATTTGGATGAGCAGTTGGTAGCTGTTGAGCAGTTTCTACGGCATTCTGCACCAACGGTATTGTATTCGACATATCTTGCGGAATTACTTGCATGTGTTGCATATGTGCTATTGGCGTATTAGTAGCAGCCAAAGATTGTCTTTTCTCTTCGGATATACTGGACACTTCCGAAATCTGAGAGTCAATAGACACGTTGGTAGACAAATTAGGTACTCTACGACTTCGGTCATCTAGACTCGTTGTTTGCATTGGTTGCATCCCTGACAGGATTACGTATTGTTGCGTTGGCGGTTGCACTTGCTGCACAAACTGTTGTACGGCAGGTGGACGCTGAGCTTGCATTTGACTTTGGAGTTGGTGTTCCGTCTGTATATGAGGTTGTATCACACTTTGTTGCATGGAAATCTGCTGCTGCTGCTGCTGTTGTATCACCATGGCAGGTTGCACTATCGTCTGATTTTGATATTGCGTTTGCTGAGTTATTCCGTTCGCGCTGTGAAGCGATTGAGGTTGCAATTCTTTTTGCGCGTTCACCGGTACAAAGTTCTGCATACTAGCTTGAGGCATCTGCTGGGACGTTTGTTGCGAAGAGATCGTGGATCCTTGAACAATTATGGTGTGCTGCTTCGACTGTCCAATAGTCGTGGTTTGTTGCATGTGCCCGGTTACTTGTTGTAAGGTTTGCACTTGAATAATATTCTTCTGCATTCCGATCGATTGCTGTCCTTGCTGCAAGACCTGTTGTTGGGCGCTGTCCATCTGTTCCACAGTATATTGAACTCCTTGGATCATTGTCTCAGTATTGTTAGTTTTGTCGTGCATTGCTACAGTCTGAGCTTCTGTAACATTCATTTCCACATGGTCTTCATTTTTTGGTACGGGTTCTGCGTTCGCAGTCAATTGAGACTGCGATGTCATAGCGTTTATACGGTCCGTGGTTTCATTGGTGGCAGAAAATTCTTCTTCCGCCGCGATATTCTTCTGTTCAACTACAGGACTGACTAAAAATCGAGAAACTTTGCGCACCGGTGTTGGTACTGTCAAACTAGATATTTCTGTAGTTACGTCGGAAACACTCGTTTCTTTAACCGTCTCACATTCCTTTATGTCTATTACGTCTTGCAGTTCTTGAGATTCTTTCGACACCTCATTCACGTGACTCGTGTTCATCATCATATCTTGTATTTGAGATTGAACATGCGTTGCGGAAATTTGATGAGATTTTAAAGTCGTGCTATTGGCGTCATCTTGAATATTATGATGCGCTTCCACCACAGTTTCCGCAGATATTGCGGAAACGACGGTTTCTTGATTGTCCGTTGGGTCACTTGGTATATTCGTGGGAGTTAAAGTATCGGTATTTTGTGTAGATGTAGAGGATCTCCTGGAAGCCTCTGCTGATGTATTCTCCGCACCTGTTTGACTATCAGGTGTTTGCACGACTTGTTGCTTTTCCAAACTAGTACTGGCGATATGAGAAATAATTTGGTCGATCGGCAACAATTTTGTTGGGGTAGAAGTATTTGAAGTTTCGTCTCTCTGAAATAAATAAAATATTTATTTTACAAGCTATTAATTGTGTGATAAGAGATATAAAAACAATAATCTAAAATGAAAATGTTAATAATTCTGCATCACATTTTTGATATCTAGTATATTCATAATAATTTTCGCAAACATTTAATATACATTAGTTTTGTAAAAAATTACTTGATATATATGTATGTATGTGTGTGTGTGTGTGTGTGTCTTTTTTACGAAAAAGCAATTTTACACTAAACAGATTTTTCAAGAAAACATTCTTTATATTTTATATACATGGAAATATAAATCATATCCTCAAATTAAATTCTCAATATTGCATAACATTTAGGAAATCTTTGATGCAAAATATATTTATATAATATATGATAAGAAAAAAAATCACCACGATAATAAAATCAGGACTTTTATGTAAAACGATAAACACAAATTTCCATAAAATAACGAAAATGAGTAGAAATCCGCTAATTAAAAAAATACATTCAATGAATATAACACACAAAGTGGTTCCTTCAAGCATATACATGTACATTATATTGTGATATACATTATACAATGATGCATGATGATCTGTGAAAAAAAGTAAAAATATATATTATGTCATTTATATGTGTCATATTTTACTAATATATGTTATATATCGTAATATTTTATATATTATGTATACAGTATTATAATATATCTAATTGCAATATCTAATTTTGTATATTTCTATTTGCAAAAACGTTTTTCAGTTCAGCAACTGTAACTAGTATGATTTTATTTTGAATTTGCATCTAAAAAATCTAAAATCTCATTCCAGAAAATATGCAATTTTTATGAGTTGACAATATCATGTGAATTTTATTTATTTCAAAATTTATCAAAATAAAATGTGTTGCAATCTTTTAAGGTTTATCTAAAAAAATTTATTTAATGCATATATGTAAAACTTTCTCGATTTTGATAACAAACAAGTTTTCGCATCATAGTGAGTGTCTCTCTCCACTAATTAAAATAGTAAAGTTTAAGAGACCAAAGTTTGTATTTTTAAGACGCGCGGCATTATCTGTGTTCCGCCAGAGCATGTTAAGTATAAAATTTATTTAATTAATAACTCGTTAACTGTTGCTCACATTAAAAGATGGCAACAGATTTTTCATCTCAATTTGACCTCTATGCCATTGCAATATTTGGCGGTTGGTGTGAGATATTCTGTACATGACTCTTTTATGTAAACTAATTTACTCAGTATCTACCTAAGTTCTAATAAAATGTACAAAAAGATAAGATTTGAATAAAATGCAAAAAGACGCAAAACACTCTCTTATAATTTAAGATATTAATTAGTAGTAATATTAAATTTGCAACCGATATATTGCATTAAAAATTTTGTGTTTCTTAATTTACAAAATGCAGTGCAACTATGCAACAGTTGTAAATATGCAACAGAATTTTTAAAATATTTTGTTGTGTTAATTCAATATATCCTTAAAAAGTATTTGAAATATATCTAAATACTTTCTCTCTCTCTCTCTCTCTC